CTCACTTGATAAATACTATAAATGGGTGCTTAATTTACGAAATGTATTAGATACATGTCATGTGTATATATTCATATTTTTATTTTGAGCGATTTAAATGTAAACAAAAAAGAACATAAGCACGGTCATTGAACCCAGTCCTCAACTGTTAACAAAATGATTCTCACATAAGTATTTAACTGAAGAACAGTCGGAGGACTTAGATTCTAGACTTGCATGTTGCCAAATTGAATGAAGCTTATCTAGAGAGCTCCTTATTCCCCCAAGGTGTTGTTTCTTCATAGCATCTGCCTTACCCTTGCCTTTGTTTTCACAGGCTTCTGTTTTAGAAAATTTGAGGTTAGCTGTGAGGTCTCAGCTTGGATTTACCTCTATCAGGCTTCCAATTGCGGGCCGGTCAAGCAATATTTGGAACCGAATATTTAATTTCGCAAGATCTCGCCATTCTGGATCCCTGGCACTGGTTTCCTCAGACGGAGATGACATTGCCAACCCGAATGCTAGCAGAGAAGGTGAAAGAAACGGCTCTCACCGAAACCTCTTTTCAGTAGAGTCTGATGATACAGACACAGAAACTGAGCGAAGAGACACAGCAGGTGCCGTTGGTGGCGTTGCTGCTACTTTGCCTCAGAAGGTCCCTCCTGCAACAGCCGTCGAAGCAGCTGTCATCTGTGGAGCTTCCTCAGCTCAGAATATCAGCAGCAGTTCGGACGGTGGAAGAGAAGCAGCGAGCGTGGAACCCCTGAGTTCCAGTCCAGGGCGCCACCAGTTCTCCAGTGCACTTAGTCGTATGACTCAAGGGTTACGTTGGGTACGCTTCACTTTAGGGAGGTCGAGTCCCGTCAGCCAGAACCAAAGTCCTTTGAGACAGCTTGATAATGGGGTAGGTGGAGGAAGAGACGAAGATGATGATGTTGAAATGCTCATTCCCGCCTCTGATGCGGCATCAGACTTTGATGCGAATGACTGCTCAAGACCTCTTCTTGACCTCACCTCAGAACAAGGACAAGGGCTTAGGCAGCCTTACAGTGCGGCACATAATGGGATGCGGTCCTGTAATCGAGATGGCCCTTGTGAGCGCTGTGGAATTGTACATACTGCCCAGATACCTGACACTTGCTTAGAAGCAGCACTGAAAAACGAAACTAGTGATGATGAGGCTTTGCTACTTTGTTAAGTCTAGTTTGAGTGGGTGGAAATGTATGTAAGTTGGAGCAATATTGGTGATTGTTTTGTACTTCATAATTAAGGGAAAAAGCAGTTGTTGTTTTTTCATTTCAAAAAAGAATCCAGGGCAAATCATGGGACTTAAAATGTTCTTGTGCATGACTGAATGAATATTTGTCATACGGGCAACTAAAACAAATGTTTTCCCAGGTCAGTATACGTAATGTACACCTGTTGCTATTTGGTTATTTAATGGTCATCTTCTGAGGGCTTTTCAAAGAAACTCCTTTTTCTATTATTAGTATTCTTAAAGCAAGTGCAAGGAAGTGACTGCAGACAGAATACCTTTGTAATTTGTGAAACACACTAGCAACAGATGAGCTTTGTGGAGCCTCTCAAAATGTTCAGGCTTGTCTGAACATTTGCGTTTAAAATGTTGCAGAGGTTTGCATCTGTAGCCAGTCCCTTACTCAAACTTTAAAGATTAATGCAGAATGAGGTAATATGGGAAGCCCTCTTGTGTCAGATAGTTTTAACATGATGGTGTAATTTAGAACAGAAACTTAGCTGCTCAACCACTTATGTCTGCCTGCCACTCACTGCAGGTTGTCAGGCTAGTTTGTACAAAATATTTATTCCTTTTTGAAATCAAAACCAACGTACTTTTGCCAATATAATTTTAACTGAATATACTAAATGCTGATTATTGCAAAAAGTATTCTTTTTCTCTCTTGTGGTTTATAATATATTTGTCTAATTACTGATTGTCATCATGCTGAACTTTTTCAGAAGGAAGAGAGACTTTCTCCAATACACTATATATTTTTTTCTTTTAGAAATTCAAACAGCAGTTAACTTAGATAAAACTGATGGCAAAAAAATCTTTTGTAGCTTTTATAACATTGACTTTAATAAGTTGGTCTAGTATGGTACAACCAAATAAGGTGTAAAAATTCAGAGTAATTTTTCATCTATCTTTGAAGATAGATATCCGAAGCAGTTAAAATATGCATTTAATTCTTGTATATAATGTGTTTTTTAAAGCTGAGATAGGTACCTATAACTCTAGAAAATATGTTCCAACTGCTAATGGATCTTCTCCCTAATAGGGTTTAAATTTGTCTGGTCTAAAGGGATTTGCACTAAAACTATGTTAAGGTCTCTAAAGAGCTTAGTGCACAAGCACTATCACTTTAAGTACTAGTCTCTAATACTGCAATGAAATATATATAAATATCTAAAAAAAATATTTCCATTGCTCTGTTTTTGGGTTCTTGCTTTCTTCTGTTGTTTGTTGCTGCAACTGAATTTGCTTTACTAATTTCCTATTTATTCATTGTATTTAAAAAGCTGGTTTACCTGGCATCAGTTTGCGCTTTTTTAAAAAAAGAAAAAGAAATATTCAGTATATTTCAAGGTTTTTATTTTTGTTACATCACATTTTGGCTGCAAAACACACCAGTGGGGAGAAAACATTCATAGTTTCCAGTTTTGTGACCAGAAAGTGGTTGTTGTTGCTACTAAATGATATCAAGAAATCCATCTTTTGAGAAGGTAAAGATTGTCAATTGCTGTTATATTTATTCTTTGCCAGTCTAAGTAGGCTTAATGATTTAGTATGAAAAATGTATTTGTGTGTGACTGTATGCTATTTATTAAATTTTCCATACATTGCTGAATGTCATTTTTAAAGCATGTTTAAAGTCTTGTGGATTTCTTGTTGTGTTATGCTGTCAGAAAAAACTGGCAATGTTTTAAGATGTATCAAATTAAAAAATCTTACTATGTATTGAGGTACTTTGTAAAGAGAAACCTGAAGGTATATTAGTTTTCTATTTTTGTAGTTTTTAAAAATAAAAATAAAAATACACAAATAGAAAACATGGTATAAAATGAGGGCTGCTGCAGTTATCATTATACCATACCAAGAATGGACACAGTGTTCTTTGCACTCTTTGCATTCTTTGCACACAATATAGGCTGTACAGTAGCACCCAGAACAATATTTGGTGAGCATGAAAAATTTGCAGCCACAGAAGGGAAAAAACAATTTGCTAACAGCAGAAGCGGCCACGACCAAACTAGTAATTCCCAAGTAAGGAAAAACAGAAAATATTTTGCTGTAAAGTAAAGAGAAAAATGTCACAGTGTTCAGCGGATAAAGGTCACATCAGATTTCCCAAGCTTGTTGCAATCTGTTGTATGGCACTTCATATAATAATAGGACAAACCTGTAATTATAGCTTGTAAGCAGAGTTTTTGAAATTGATAACCTGGTTCAAATGTACGAAGGGGTTGGTTCTAAATTTGCATGATCACCCCCTCTATTCCTTCATGAAAACGTAATGTGAAAGTGTGATAGTGTAGAGCCCTGGTTTCTGTCATTCCCCTAAAAGTGGGTGAGGGAGAGATTGCTGCCATTCTGTAAGCACATCAAGGGTGCAGAAGCTCTGGGCCACCATTTAAGCGTCTTGCCTACAATTCCACCACATATGGGCTACTCTGCAGCTGTAACAACTGGGGTACAGAGACGTGCTAAATACCTACTGTGCCTTGACGCTCTGAGTGTGACCAGTCACACTCTTGCTAAGAAGCCCTTTATCTTTATGGCCACTTTCTATGTTAAAAAGGAAAGCTAGAAATTTGAGGTGCTAAGCATTCATTTAGGTACACACATTAATAGTGGAATTCTAAACATGTTTACTAAGTACATAGTTCCACTGGTGGTGAAACTCCTTGGCAATGTGCAGTTGGGGAATTTCAGGTGCTGGTCTAAAATGGCAGTTCTGTCTTTAGATGGTAATGTATATTTACTTCAAAATGTAGTGAGATAGTTCTGCTGTATACAGAGGCCTTCTGGCTCGTTTTTCTGAGTGGGGCCCTGGACTTCTCTACACTAAAGTTCTGCCATAAAGTGATACCTTGGTTTACAATCATAATCCGTTCCGGAGGTCCGGTTGTAAACCAAAACAGGTTGTAACCCAAGACGCACTTTCGCCAATGGGGCCTCCAAAAAAAGTGGGTTGTAATAATAATAATAAAAGGTTGTAATCCAAAAAAAGGGACACACACTTCAGGGTTTGATGTGGTTGTAATCCAAAATGGTTGCAAACCAAGGTACCACTGTACTGGCATCTCTGCTTCCAAGTAAATGTGATTAGGAACACAACACAAGCCTGAAACCCTACATATAAGTGCACTTTACTGGGAAGTAGGGCTGATTTAATTCAAGATTTGCTTCAGAGTAGAGATGCACAAGATAGGGCTGCATACCACCACTGAATTCTATACAGCTCAGTTCTAAAAACATTTTTTTAAAAAGTGACCTACTCCATAAGGTGGAATGTGAGATAATTATTTTTGGAAACTACTACTGGCGCCCAGAGGGACGCGGGTGGCGCTGTGGGTAAAACCTCAGTGCCTAGGACTTGCCGATCGCATGGTCGGCAGTTCGAATCCCCACGGCGGGGTGAGCTCCCATCTTTCGGTCCCAGCTCCTGCCCACCTAGCAGTTCGAAAGCACCCCTAAGTGCAAGTAGATAAATAGGTGCCGCTTTATAGCGGGAAGGTAAACGGCGTTTCCGTGTGCTGCGCTGGTGCTGGCTCACCAGAGCAGCTTCGTCATGCTGGCCACGTGACCCGGAAGTGTCTCCGGACAGCGCTGGCTCCCAGCCTCTTAAGTGAGATGAGCGCACAACCCTAGAGTCGGACACGACTGGCCCATACGGGCAGGGGTACCTTTACCTTTACCTTTTTACTGGCGCCCAGATCCTTCAATAAATTTACCTGGTCCCTTTAAATCTGCATTGACACTTTTATATTTAGTTTGCCCTGCTTTGAAAGGAAGATGGCAACGAGTGTTCTGAATGCAGTAACTCTACTTAAGACTGGAGTTGCTATTCCCATTAGATGCAGTTGAACTCTTGCATTTCCAGCGCTGCATAATCCTTAGGCTATTTACGCAAAAGTGAGTCCCTCCGGTTTGCATTTACATTTACTCACGGGTAATTGTAAGATTTCCGATTTGCTTCCTTTCACTATCCTGAAACGCCGCTTTAACCAGGCTGGATCCCTTTTTAAAGTAAGGCATAAGAAGCTAATTGGAATTGGGTAAAATACTCCCAATTCGAGTTTTCAGAATGGCACAGAACAAAGAGCAAGGAAGTGGCTGCTTGGGGGAAAGCTGTACAAGCCATTTTCAAATACAGTCTTATTTAATTTAATTTCACACAAACTGCTTCCAAAACTACTGACCTAAAACCCTCATTCTAAACACAGCTGTAATGCTGAGCAGCACCTACAAACTTCCTCGTGGAACAGCAGCGCCCCACCCACTCTTGTTGCAAGATAAAGGCTAGTGGGGAAGTAATTAGGTGCAGGAGAGGAAGGGCGATAGTAATTCTCACTTCCACAAACACAGTAAAAAAAAAAAGGGAACAGGGAACAAAGGGTTAAAACCTCAGCCCCCGGCAGGGAAAGTCACACGTGACTGCATGGAATGTCTGCCGGCAGAGGGAGAAAACTTTAGAAGTGCTGCTGCAACTGCTGCCACTACTTTGCAAACGCAGAGCGCCTTTCCCAGAAACTTTACGCACAGAAGCGGGAGAAGACCATGCAGAAGATTTGGATCCGAGGCGGGCGAGTTGTGAACGCGGACTGTTCACAAGTTGCGGATGTGTACGTGGAGGATGGGAAAATCAAAGCGGTGGGGGCGCATCTCCAGCCGCCATCCCTAGCAGGCGTCCAGGTGATAGATGCCTCCAACAAACTGGTTCTGCCCGGAGGGATTGATCCTCACACGCACCTGCAGTTCCCCTTCATGGGCACGCAGTCGAAAGACGACTTCTATCAAGGGACCAAGGTAATTATTGTCTTCGTTATTATGACAGTGCCGGATTTACGTATAAGCTAAAGAAGCTATAGCTTAGGGCCCCAAGCCAAAAAATTAAAAGGGAAAAAAACCTGGATGTACATTTCCAAAATAAAAAACAAATAAAATAAAACCTACATACAGCAACAGTGTTTTGTGTTGTGTAGGCTCCTATTTGTTATGTGCAAATGGCTTTAGATACCTATTGGGTCCATAAATTACCATATAGCATATATTCAACACAAAAAACAGCAACAATTTGTTGTTGACAAAGGACAGCTGGACATATAAAGGGCCCCATTACTTTCAGTAGCTTAGGGCCTCATCAAACCTAAATCCGGCCCTGAATAAATATACATACATACACACACACTTAACAATGTTTATGAAAAATCAGTTTGAAAGTCTCTCTCTCTCTCTCTCTCTCTCTCTCTCTGTGTGTGTGTGTGTGTGTGTGTGTGTGTTAAATTCAAAAAATTAATCATCATCATCCCTGAATCCTTTTGACTTCGCTCCGCCCTTCCATGGTTACCATTATCAATCTTTTTTTCCAACTGCTTCCCTTATTTTCTCTAAATTTTTAAGAAAAACACTCCGTTTTTGCAATAGTTTTTCATACATTACAAGCATTACTCAAATCCTGCCTAAGTTTTAAGTTATTTACAGTGTTCTCTTAAATACATTATCAATTTTTCCCATTCCTTCTTAAAATTCTCTTCCTGGTTTCTGATTTTCCCAGTCAATTTCACCTTTTCGGCATAGTGTGTGTTTATAATTTTATTGCTGTTTTATTTCCTTGACATCTGATGGATGGGCGTTCCACAGGGCTCTCTATCTATTTGCTCACCATCTTTCTTGGGGTGGTGCAGAAGGAAGAGTAAGGCCCAGCTGTGTGGCCCAAGTGAGCAAATGAGAGACACCTGTGAGGCAGCCTCTGCTTGTTCACTTTCCTCCTCTCTGGGGGCTCTTCCAGGCTATCAGTATTCCAGGTCGGATTCAGTCACGTCCCAGCTAATTCATGTTGTTCAATTATAGTTGCTTGGCGTGCCCTGCATAACAAACCCACTTCCCAGGAAAGTTTGGGGAAACACTTGCTTTGATGGGGCAGTTATTTAGCCTCTGGAAGCAGATCAGGATGAAAGCTCAATAAACAAGATAATCTGGAAGCGCCTTGGGTGGCACAGAATTGAGGATATTGCAAATTCATTACAAAGTCCTAACACCCAGATATCTCCCTCCGGAATGGGCTCCTCCTCCTTTCTGTTTAAAATCTGCCTTTTAGCAACCCAGTGTTTCTTTTCCTCAAAGCCTTCTGTTCCTTACGTATCTCCAGTCCAAATAACTGGGATTTGTCCTGATATCAACACTTTGAAAGATCGCTTCCCACAGGTTTACAGGACCTGATAAATGTTTGCATAGATCTTCTTTCCTGGAATTTAATGGCTACGGATCAGTCAAATGGAACACATATTGCCAGTTCTTCACACAACTTTACTGACTGCCCGAGATCTGTTACACATTAACAAATAATACCTCACTGTTTTAACACCTCTAATTCTTCAAACAACAGTTATCCAACAATAGCTTTTTCTCAACCCCACCACACCCCATGATTTGCTTGACATGTCCAGCCTGAAGATGTGCTGGTGAACTTGAGAGTTAGCTTGGCCTTGCAAGTCAGTTATTATTATTATTATTTATTAAATTTATATACACCCCAGAACGCCCCTGAACTCGTATGTTTCAGCTCCCAAACAATTGAAAACCGGAAGTCAGTGTTTCCGTTTTCGAACATTCTTTTGGAAGCCAAATGTCCGTCAGAGTTTCCTGCAGCCAATCAGAAGCCACATTTTGGAAGTCGAACAGACTTCCAAGGTCTTTCATCCAAAGATTCAATTGGTCCTAAACAAGTATTACCATATTAAAAATCTTGTTAGATTTCTCCCCCAACTGAGTTAATCAGATACTTTTATCACTATTTGTACTTTTCTGACAATCCCTCTCCTAACCAATGTGTGTACAGTGGTACCTCAGGTTAAGTACTTAATTCGTTCTGGAGGTCCGTTCTTAACCTGAAACTGTTCTTAACCTGAAGCACTACTTTAGCTAATGGGGCCTTCCGCTGCCGCCGCACCGCCGGAGCACGATTTGTGGTCTCATCCTGAAGTAAAGTTCTTAACCCGAGGTAATATTTCTGGGTTAGCGGAGTCTGTAACCTGAAGCGTATGTAACCCGAGGTACTACTGTATATCAGAACATGAGAACAGCTCTGCTAGATCAGGCCAATGGCCACCTAGTTCAGTTTCCTCTTCCCCAATACTTGTGGCAGACCAGATACCTGTGGGAAACCCTCAATGAGGACCCCAGCACAAGAGCGCTCTCCTCTCCTGTGGTTTTCGGCAACCAGTATTCAGAAGCGTTACTGCCTCCCAATGCAGAGGCCAAGCCTAGCATCATGGCTAGTAGCTATTGATAGCCTTATTGTCCCCAGATTTGTTTTAAAGCCTTCCAAGTTGGTGACAGTCACTGTAAGTTCCACAATTTAACTACATGCTGCGTGAAGAACTGTTTCCTTTTATTGTCCTAAACCTTCCAACACTCAGCGTCCCTAGATGACTCTTGAGTTCTAGTGTTACAAGACAGAGAGAAAAACTGTTCTTTGCTCATTTCCTCCAAGCTTTCCATGCTTCAAAGCTGAAATTGTCTGCATACTGCACTACAGGTGCTTAGAAACTTTCTCTGGCATCCTTGCACAGTTAGTTTTGGCTCAATGTGAACCTTGAGCTATATTTAAAGAGGTGATCTAGAACTGAAAAGCCTCGATTCATAGTAGTGGTGTGTGTGTGTGTGTGTGTGTGTGTGTGTCCCCAACAGGGACTCCACGCTTCTAATTCCTGAGTGATGGACAGAAATTGAACAGCTGCAGCATTTCCAGGAGTAGTGATAACAGTAATGCAAAGAGCTGCACCTGTTCAGCTTCTGTTTCTCAGGCAGCTGTTAAGGGCATCAAGATGCTGTCATCAAATAAGAAAGCAGCTGTCTAGCCTAATCCACAGAAGCATGTTGGAAAGCACTTTTTAAAAAACTGTAGTTCTCTCCCCACTTTTTTTTGTTTTGTTTTGAATGACACACACTCTGTATCACCAAAGCAGCTGCTTTAAGAGGCCTGCAGTTTGGGGGCCAGTCCGTGTCTGTCCTGTGGCTATATATTGAGCCACAGATTCTGTAATTTAATTGCTGAGGACCAAAGTCCATATGACATTTGACCCGGATTCATTTTTCCTTGTTTCATAACGCTAGAATTTGTGGGCATCCAGTGAAGCGGAATGCTGGAGGATTCTGGACAGATAAAAGAAAGCATTTCTTCACACAGAGCACAGTTAAACTATGGAACTCACTGCCACTGGATGCAGTGGTAACCTTTAAAAGAGGTTCAGACAAATTCAGGGAGGATAAAGCTATGCTGGAAACCACAGGAGGGGAGAGTGCTCTTGTGCTTGGATCCTACTTCTGCTTGGCCACTGTGAGAGGAGATGAGCCACTGGCCTGACCCAGCAGGTTCTTATTACATTCTAATTCAGTTGCCTGTAGCTTTGCCTTGCTTGGCTGTGTAGGAGGCTGCAGTCTTGAGTAGCAGATCTCAGCAGCACCAGCAGGCACCACTTCCATTTTCATTCCCACCCATTCGCCCAAAAAGGAAAAGGAAATTTCAATTAGAGAAAATGAAAGCCTCACAGTTGATGTTGGCAATATCTCAGTTGGTTAGAGCACGGTGCTGATGATGCCAAAGTTGCAGGTTCAATCCCCATATGGTACAGCTGCATATTCCTGCTGTTGCAGGGGGTTGGATGAGAATCAACACTTAGGATTCTATCCTAATTTACCGTATTTTTTGCTCTATAAGACTCACTTTTTCCCTCCTAATAAGTAAGGGGAAATGTGTGCGCGTCTTATGGAGCGAATGCAGGCTGCGCAGCTATCACAGAAGCCAGAACAGTAAGAGGGATTGCTGCTTTCACTGCGCAGTGATCCCTCTTGCTGTTCTGGCTTCTGAGAGTCAGAATATTTTTTTTCTTGTTTTCCTCCTCCAAAAACTAGGTGCGTCTTGTGGTCTGGTGCGTCTTATAGAGCGAAAAATACGGTAATAATATGAGGCAGTCCATATAGTTGTTTAAACAAGAGCAGTGGTTATCAGGCATGCACTGAAACATAGAAAAGGCAGTGAGATTTTCAGACCACTGAGTAGAAGAAGGTGGCTGTTTGTCCTTCCAGCCTCGCTATTTGCCACCACAAGGGCTCTCACAATCCACTTTTGTTCACCAGTGCCCTTGATACAGCATGGCTGTGCTTAGAAATTAAATGACAGATCTCATCCAGCCGGTGCAGCTGCTATCAGCCCCAGTAGGAACATAGGCAGCTCCCTTATGCAAACCTATTGGAACGTCTTGCTCACTGATTGGCAGCAACCCTCCAGGGTTTCAGGCTAGGAATCTTTTGTCAGTTCTACCTGGAGATGCCGGGGATTGAACCTGGAACCTTCTGCATGCAAAGCAGATGTTTGACCAATGACCCTTCTGCAACCATTGTTGCCAGGTGAGGCTGGCAGAGCCCACCAAAAGAGGAGGCACCCCAAGCAAAGAGTGTTTGCCTGGGGCCCCCTCAAACCCAGGGCCTGCCCTCAAAAGACCAATAGGGAAGGAACAAGTTCTTAAATCTTTCTTCGCTTGGCAGTGAGGTGCCGCTGTGACAGTGGGAACCACATTGGCGACCCCTGTTGTGTGGCGCACTCCCTCTTCAGTTTTCCTCTCCTTCAAAGCATAGCTTTGCTTTCCAGTCCCCCACCCCGGATGAAGCCAAGTGTGTTTTTGAATTTGCTGTTTTCTGTGCTTTGTCTTGTATTTTGGTACGGCCTTACCTTCCGATTGATTTTCTGCACAGGAGAGAGTGGTTATTAATTTTTATTCTGTTGCAAGAAACAGTGTCAGAATGCT